ATTGAAACCACAGTATGTGTGATTGTATATCAGAGTGTTTGTACACACACACACACACATGCGCATATGTGTGTTTGTTTATTAGCATTGCCAATGTAAAACCTAAACCCTTTACAAGTCTATGAATGATAAATTCCACATTCGTAATGTTTTCCATTGGAGTGGTCAAAATGGAGGACAACAAATTGCATTTAACCAAGCCGATGTAATGTAAACTCCAAAACCTGAAAGTGATTTTAATTCAATAAATTATTTTGTTGTTTGTCAACATTAAATAATCAATTAAAAATTATATTGAACAATTCGACAATTATATGGCTGCACTTATGTTATAGGTTTTGGAAATTTTATGTTTAAAATGAAAAAGCAAATGGAAGGTAATTCAGAAACGATAAATTATTTGCGAGAGTAAGAACGTAGAATAGCCTATACCTCAAAACATTTACTTTTAACTTTCCGAAGAAAATATTCGATGATCTTGAATATGGGAGGAAAATACAAATACAACAAAAGTCATTTTAAATTATGTTCTACTTTAAGAACATTTCCAAGTCAAGATTACGTAAGGAGAACATATACTGTTAAGTGGAAGAGGTTATCCATTTAACCTTATTAAAACTAGTTTTTAATAATCCCATCGCGTAAATACAAGTGAAATAAAATTAAAATAAAGATGACAATTAAATCTGGGAAAATATTTCCAAGTTCTAATTAAAGTCAATTTTACATATGCGTTTATTTATTTATATTTAAATAATATAAACAGCCCATAAAAACATGGTATTGACATTGTTGCATATACATTTCATTCCATTTCATCGTTTTTTTTTTCTTGATTTCCAAAAGCTATCATCAATGTCAGATGCTGGAATGGACGAATGGAGTATTCGCCATTTGATTTGCTTTTTATTCCATTTATGTATTTCCACATTTCATTCGAAAACAATAAAAATATAAAATTTGAAGAGTATATTTCTATTGATTTGTTTGTTGTTGCCGACATACAATTGACAAGTTGGACATACTGTCCGACATAAGCACTCATACACAGACACACACACACACGTAAAAGGGCATACGTGCATGCGGAGAAAACATATTCAGCAGCAAATGGCTGTTTATGACAATTCAAATGTAACAACGTTTATATCCTGTCAAGGATCAACAAAGATTGACACTTTAATGAGTTTGAATTTTTAGCTGGAAAGCAAATTCATTCAAATGGATATGTTTCGACACAGGACAGCAACAACAACCTCATCTCTGTGAAAGATTATTTTTGTACTCTTTGACACACACACACACACAGATATATTGTATAAATGTATGTGTGTAATTTCAATTCAATTTTATCCTTTTTTGTTGTAATTATTATTATTTTTCTTTAACCGCAAATATTCGCTTTGTCTTGATCAGACCATGTGGTTTTTGCATTTCTATTAATTATATGTAAATTTATTTGTAATAAAAAACCACGAAAAATAAATGTTTTGAAAATGTAAAAGACATTTGGTTTGAAAAGATGATGAGTTGTAATGGATAAATCCAATTACCGACACTGTGGAACAACCTACAACCAATGTGAATTTGAATCTTATACTTAAAACTTTCCAAACTAATTAAAATATTTTTTATTTCGCAAACTGAGAATTAGATATGACATTAGACCCTTTCAATATTATATCGGACGTACTTTCAAAATTTATCCTATTGCTCTATTTTTTTGTCTCTCGAAATAAAAATTTTAAGTCAAAACAAGTAAGCAAAGGCTACAGCCGTGCGGGGCCGAACATGTGACACCCTTAAAACACTCTAATACATTGGAAGCTCCCAAATCTATTTTTAAGCTGTAGTTTTTGAAATAATGTCGTATAGGCCTGCCAGATGATACCCTTAGGTTTTTGACCAGTGGCATTTGCCCAATATTTAAGTACTCCGTAGTATTGTTAGGCATTCAAAACAATTTCACTCGAAATTTGTGTCCATTTTACACCTAAATATAATCCAATGATTAATCAAAAATGATAGACTTCTTCCCTGTCATTAACTCTCGTCTCATGCAAAATTCCGTGTCGATTAGTTTTCAATTAGGACCTGTAAAGCGACTGCAAAAATTTAGAAAATTCGGGAAAATTTAATTTTTTTTTGGCTCAATCAAAAAAAAAAACAATAGGCTTTAATTCTGACCCTATGCCCATAACTATAAGTCAAATTGAAAAAATCGTATGCGATAAAAAATATGACAAAATTGAAAAAATGTAACAAAAAAAAATAAATTTGTATTTTCTTGGATTTCATCCTTTTCTGGAAAAAGACCATTCCGCGGTTCTTGACTTATAAGCGAAATAACTAAGATATTTACATATATACTGCACATATTTTGCTATATATCCGATATCTTCGCTATTAGCATCATTTTAAGGTTCGGAAGTGAACTATTAGTGTATTTGTGATTTAGCCGGGATTAAAAACATTCGTGGTTTAGTGATTTTTTCATTTTGACGCGGAATTTTCGTATTTTTTTATGTAAAATGTATGGTCTATTTCACCCGCTTAATATTGTCCGATAACCATCCAAATTGGATGGATAGAGCCCTAGGCTCTACCTCCATGCAAAATTCCGAATTCGATTAATTTATAATTGTTGCCTATAGAGCTACAGCAATATCAGGAAATTTTTCTGTTTTTTAGTTCATTTCAACCCCTTAATATTTTGCGATCTCCTCCAAAAACAATAGGTTTCTATTTTTATTCTAACCCCAGCTCCAACCTGTAGCTTGATTACGAATTAATATGGCCAGACGGACGGACCTGCATAGCTAGACGGATTCAGCTTGGCGAGATAGGAAGATCCATATATGGCTTCCCATGTCGGGGACCAATATTTCGAGATGTTACATAATTTCAATCCAATCAAACTTATAATACCCCCAAACACCTAGTGTTTTAGGGTATAAAAATATATAAATATTCTAGATCAGCATAGAACTCTCCTTTATTCTACCGTACTTCGAAATAACGAATTTTTTTTTAATGTCAATCAAGATTAAAGAGTCGTGTCACGTTTTAGTAATTTTTTGCAGAGAAAGTTGTAAAATCGTTGTGATTTGGCTTTTTGAATTCTTGATAGGTGTGTCAGCTCTTTACGATAAAAAACCGCTCCTTATTACGATATCTGATTTTATGTAATTTTTGGGGATTCGCAATTGTTTCCAGCAGAATTTACTGATTTGATTTTTCGAATTCAAAATATTGACTAAAAACTAAACCTAAACTAAACCTTGATATATATAATATAGTTTCTTTCAAAGTTTTTTTTCAAAATTCCTCCAACTTCTTTTTGATAATGTAAAACATTTCTAATAATTTCTTTTCTTTATTTTAGATTTTTGTATTACCAGGTAAGTCTAAAATTTTTTTATGAAACATTATGACTTAATGCTACTCTTGGTCAGATTTCAAGGAACTGCTTCCCTTAGAAATGATTCTCATTTCGAAATGAGATTAGGAAACCCCACTCATTCTGGTACTTTCGCTACGAAGCATCTACATTTTCAAGGAAAATCATTTACCTTATAAAACTCGAAGGGATATCCGATTTCGTTCAAACAGCTGATGCCTGAGGTCAGGTGAGAAAATGGGCCAAATGTCGATCCAAACACAGGGGACATTAATTTAAAGAAGAAATGTAATAAATTTTAAAAATATGGACATATTGTCAACTACTTTTAGCGCCGTCCCAACGAAAGTTCTAAGATTTCGAAAAAGAAACTTAGATTAAGACACATGCTGATGGCATACTCCTTAACTTGTTTTCTTCACCCTTCATATCATTTGCATTTTCATATGCACATATCGCTTTATTTTCTTCAGAATGTTATTTCCTGCTAATTTCAACAAATACTAATATACTCCATTTCTTGTGGAAGCAGAAGACGAAGCTTATCAACAAAATAAGCGTTTGTTAGTGAACATCCTGCCCAACCCCGGTATAAATCTCGATTTTTCATCTTTACCTAGTCGTAGATATTTTTCTAAGACATTAATCATATTTTCCAGAACACAAATAAGTTTTGCTGTTGCGGAAATTAAATACTCTGCATTCATAACCTGCTTTTGTGTAGTTTATTGTTGCCTTTTAGCTCTTTAAATATCGCTCGTCCGTGGTAATGCTGCCGTCACAACCACAGCCACAAAGTCAAACTCCTCGACTGTGTAGTCGGGTAATGCATTAGATGCTGGTTGTGGGGGAAGGGGGCGTTGTTTGTAAGTTATGCCAAGTCAAACTTTGTATGTTCTAAAGTTAAAAGTTAAACGGAGGAATTCAACGACATATGCATACACCTACATATGCACATACTGTATATATGTATATGTACCTACGCAAAAAAATATCCTTAAAAAAAAAACAAGCTTCCACTATGTCAGCAACATTTCTGCCATGGTTAAGGTTATTAAACGCATTATTTACACTTGCAAAATTACAAAAAATATTTCAATCTTATCATACTGCACTTAGAAACAATATAATATGCAAAACACTTCTGGACGATTTCCGAAGTAAAAACTTTGTGTTGACAAGCTCACACATTATCTATTTTGACACCCTACTTCACACTGGATGTGCTACACTATACTTCACTGTTGTAGAAGTCCCTGTTCATACAAAAGTAGATATCTCCTTAGAACCCTAGTTTCCACCAGGGTTTTTAAAAGCCCCCTCTACAAACGTTGTGCTACATATTTTTAATATGTTTGCAGATGTTATTTGAGGTAGCATTCCCATTGTTGATATCGATTGTGGAATTTTAAATTAAGATTTAAAACTTCAATGTATGTCCATCCAATAACGGTGGTATTATTTTGAGGCAATGTAAGAATGAGGAAGGGTATCACTTTGTTGGCCACAATTGATGCTAAGTCTAAACCAGCATTATTTGTATTGCAAATATTTACATCACTTTTTCTAGAGGATTAAACAAAAAACAACAAACACTTACCTTTGCTTGCCTCCAACCGATGCCGATGTCATACTTTGCAATTTACGATTTGCCTCTGAACTCTGTGCAGGCTTTAAATTATTGCCAGATGCCGATAACACCGGCGATGGTGTGGCATAATGCCATTGCCTGTAATAGCTATCGTATTGTCGATTTTGTGAAGCTCTACCCTCATCTCGATATGGATCATTTGCATAATCTTGAGGTCCGGGAAAATCTTCTCTAGAGTCATCATCATACTGGGGTCTATAATAACCATTATCATCATTAGAATAGTCACCATGCATCGAGTCATCATAATACGGCTGCTCTTCGTGAGAACCCTGTTGATATGGCCCGGTAGCAGATTGCCTGTAGGATAAGGGAGCCACTTCATCCGTCTTGGAGTATACGACAACAGGTGTTTGTTCCTCATAGTATGAGTTGTTCTTTATATTCACATTTGCTGTTGTTGTGCTTTCCACAGCATCGCGAACTTTTCTTTCTAATTCCCCCGTTGGGTGCTCTTCAATTTCTGTTACAATGGCCTTCACCAGCTCCTCTTGGTTCTCCTGTAAATTTTCCACATTAACCAAAACAAATTGGTTATTTGTTGGCAAATAGGTTCCATTTGTCTTGGCACTTCTCTGTGTTATGGTATTGAGAATAATGCGTATCACAGAGGGTTCCTCGTCCTCCAATGATTTCACCTCCAAAATTGTAAACGTGCACAAGGCTGTGATGAATATCAACGTTATAGACCACAAAATCCAGCGGCCAGCGCCTTTCGAAAGAAAGAATTCTCTGTTCATTTTGTAAAGTTTTTTGTTTTGTTTTCAAGAAATTTTATAGTTCGTTTCACTTTGGCCGCAAAATTTGATTTAATTATAATTTTCGTTTTTTACTGAGTTTTTTTCCTTCAGCATAGAACAAGCAGCGCGTGCCGTATTGTTTCGTTACAAATCTCAGACTATTTGGAAATTTCTCTTGGAAGTCAAGTAAAATTCTTGGCCATTTCTTTTCTTTGCGTCTGTCTACCACAAAAATGTGTGAAATTTCGAAGACTTGGATAAACTCAAAGAAGTTATGATAACTAAAGAAAACCCATAACTGGGCCAGTGGTGTGTTGGATCTATGTGCCCCTATTGGCATTATCATGTTTGTTCAATTAGAGCAATGGCAGCGAGTATATAGTGACGAAAGCGCAGCACAAGTGCTAACTGTAATGCGGAGAAATGGATGTTATTCCATTGAACCAGTTTCAATCATCAGCGTCGCACATAGGTCTTCAATTTGGGACATTCTTGTGATTCCAAGCCAGCAAAACCCTACCAATTATCACCTTTCATTTTGATCGCATGTGTTTTCCATTCACACATACAGACACACATGTGTGGTGTTTAACAGAGAAAAATCTAGTTCTGTTTATCTGATCTGAACTAATAAACAAAAACACCCATACAAACACGGATATGCAAATATCTTTATTAAACCGTTAAAAATAACTGTTAGAAACGGTGAAAGTTGTCTAGAAATTGTTATTTCCATTTATTATTTTTTTTTTCGTTTGTCATTGATACAAATGAAAGTATTTGGACAGTATTCTGATAGTCGGTAAAACATATCAATCATGGACTGGTTCAGATTTGTTTTTGGCAAATTACCAAGTCACATATTCTGTTAGGGCGTGACGAAGATATCACCTAAATGTATGTGGCGCCTTAATTAATTTGAATTTTTGTCAGTGGAAAATTAAGCAACTTTATGACGTCATGGACAACAATTCTTGCATAATTCATATTTATACCCTACACCACATAGTGGTGAGGGTATTATATCTTCGGCCATTTGTTTGTAACATGGAGAAGGAAGTGAGATAGACCCATAGTTACTTTTGAGAAACTTCATAGAATCACTTTCTGAGTCGATTTATGCATGTCAGTCCTTCCGTGTATTTTTGTGAAAAACAAAATGCAGGTCGCCAGTACATCACATGAGGGACCTAACCCCTCACATTCGTAATATGGTATGGTACGGTATCAGATATCTAATAGGGCTCAGAAATGCATTTGCCAAATTTTATAGAGATCGGTAGGTATTTGGATATAGCTCCCATATATACCTTCACTCGATTTCAGGTTTATTGTGCACCAAATGGTTAATATAAGCCCGAATTGAATGAATTTTGGCACATAGGAGCGTATTTAGCATGGAAGAAAGTGTATCAAATTTGAAATTCGGGTAAGATATAGCTATAGGTCCCATATATGTTTCAGCCGATTTTGTATTTTACTCCCTCACACCTGTAAAATACTCTCCGCAATAACGGTATTTGGTGCCAACTATCAGATACAGCATAGAAATACCTCTGATAGATTTATAGAGATCGGTTCAAATGCCTTCGATAAATTTAGTAGAATCCGATAGAAGCATGTCATATAAGGAAAGGAACTCCTTCATTTGTTATATGTAACTCTGCTCTATATATGCAAAGTGGTGTGGGGTAGCATAAAGTCGACCAAGCCCGACTTTGGCCTTTCTTTACTGGTTTTTAATTTTCATTGCTAGCGTGTTTCCCTCTTCTTTCTGAAAACTGACCCTTATAACATATTTGTAGTTCACAAAAATTATGAATAAAAATTAAGACGTTTCCAACGCCTATTTCTTACAAAAAATTTTCAGAATGTACAAGACGTGATACCATTAACTCAAAATTGACAAAGAAGATGTGATAAGTAGCTTAATATTCAAAGATAATTATCCTATTAAAGAGGTGAACAATTATTTTTTCCAATATTTGTTTTGTTCGGACTCTGCCTTGCAGAATTTCACATATTTTTCAGAATTTTATTTTAATCTATTTGTTTGAATTTTCTTTTGTCTTGTTTAATATTTTGGGTTATTCTTAGTTGGACTTTTTGGCCAGTTGTACAATTCAAATAAACCAGTTTTTCCCAAATTTTGTTTACTTCAAATGGGTTTAAAGTGGGTCAATGCATAGCTTCCTGAAACAGCGATTTTATATAATTGCGACTAACTTCTTGACATATCTAAAATAGTTTTCACAGTCTTTTATTATTAAAAATAATAACAAAATCATACGGCGGCATACTACTGTCCAAAATCTGCCAGATGTTTGAATTGGTATTTTTGAAATAAGCAGAATTCAAATCTTAGGGGTTTTAAAAAATACATTATCTTTTAATGGATTCCTACGAAATTTAGTAAAATTCAGCAAAATTTTCGGATTAACAATTGCAGACTTAGCACCTCGGGTGAGAATCGAACTCACGACCTTAAGTGCTGTAAAACTTATGCGCTACCAGCTGCGCCACCGAGGCCAACCTCTACAATACAATTCTCCACATATATAAATTGTCATAACAATATAATTATCTCACAGCACAACAACAAAAACAGCTCAATTTGCCACCCGATAAGAATGAACGAACCCTCACACACAACAGAACGCAAATCATCCAAACAAGCGCTAAACGATTTCATTCAGCTAGTTAATAAACGATAAATGAATGAAGCGTAAAAATCGGACGCTATGCCAAAAATAGACATCACATAACAAGAGAACAAAAAAGCAACAAAAACACTCATTCTCAATTACAAACGAACATTCTCAATTTCAGACACACATTCTCAATTACATATGGAAACGCATAGGTTTACACATTTTTCTTTTTAAATATGCCAATAAGAAAACAGAAAAAAGTGAAACGAAATCTTCTAAAGAAATATGGAAATTAGACAATTGCCGCATTACTTACATTCTAAATTCATTCATTCATTTTTACATTCGAAAATTATAATTTAGAAATATATATATAATCCATACAAATATTAAAACCACTATTTATTTCTTATGAGTTTTCACTTAAGTATTGCAAATGCCGAATTAATCATCTTGTTCACAAAATTTGTGCTATGAACCATCTGCAATGTAAAGAAAAATTATAAAAAGTGTTTGAAACGAGAATAAACTCCAGAATTTAGGCAATACCATTGTATAAAAATATTTGAGAATTACTACTCTAAAAACTAATAATCCCTAAAAATTAATATTACAGCCAATCAAAAGTTGGAATTTCATGTAATTCTCATTGCAATCGTTATAATCTAAAGCAAAACGACAGATACAAATACTACACATTTTCTGCAATATGTTTAAGGAAATAGTGGTGTTAAAATTTTCATTATACCAAATCATATAGAAAGTTTAGGTACCCAATAAAAATTAAAAAGAAAACGCAATTAAAAAAGCTGGTAGTGAATATCCTCCACCATTTGGAACGAATATAGCAATTCTCAAAAACAATAAAATCCGTTAAAATTCAGTTTAAATTCTAAAAATGCCGAATGTAGCCGTTATATTAGGGTCTAAACGACGACCTGGACCTACATAGACAAATTTTTTTCATAAGCCATTTCAATGTTCAAATGCGAAACTTGAAAAAAAATATTCGGAGAATAATGTAGCTAAAATCATCAAAATACCGAATATAGGGAGGTACCATTATAAGGGGGCTATACCAAAATGTGAACCTGCACAGACAATTGTCTGTCATAGGCTGTAGTATCGATTACGAACTTTAAATACCAAATTTGAAACATTTCCGGTGAGGAATGTCGTTTAAATCACTAAAATACCGAAAATAGGTATATGGGGACTATACCAAAACGTGGACCTACATGGCCCATTTTTAATACCAAAAGTCCTGCCGACATGATATACATTTGAGCAACATTTTATCAACCTACTTAATTTAGTTCGGATCAAGAATAAAGTACATATGGGGTCTAAAATGTTTATTTCGAGGTGTTTCAAACGGAATGACAAACTTAATATAACAACAACAATTTCGTTGGAATTTGCGATTTAGGGAAGATACTTTTATGTAGGGAATATTTCGAAGGCTTCACACAATTCTATGCAAAAAATAGGCTTTATTCAAACGTCAAACGCCAAAATTGTAGGCAATTCCGTTTCATAACTTGGCGGAAACCATACACATAGCTAATATGGGAGGTAAAGTCACGTATACATACCAAGGCAATTTTCTTCTCGAGTGGTAGGTAGGTATTTAATACGAAATGGAAATACCAAATTGCTATTTATTCCGTTAACAATGTGGAGACCCCATCAAAATGACGAATATTAGAAATTTTCGCTATATGGGGACTGTACCAAAACGGGAGCAAATCTTAACAAAACATGGATCAATATTGACAAATTTCAGACAATTCCCCTCATAATAACGAATATCGGGAGGCTATGTTGGTTGAAGGATGAAACAAAACGTGAACATTTATTAACAATTTTGTTTAAGAGGGTTTAGTACCCATTGTCAACTTTGAATATCGAATATCAGATACTCACTTAGAAAATGTTGCTAAGACATCACAATACCGAATATTAAGAACTAACGTTATATTGAAATGATATGACTGAAATGAAACACAAATGGATTCGTTGTTGACGCAAAACTTCATTTATGTATTTTGGTAGCCGAAACCACTTCACTTAAACCTTAAGAAAATATTCTCTAAATAAGTTTTGTGGTTTATATTATCCTTGTTGATATTGAAGCAAAAATACCCCTTAGTTGTTTCTTAGAGGAATTTCAGACTGGTTCTCCTTTCAACCTTTAACTTCCGGTTCCCCTTTCAACCTTTAAACTTCACTGATTTAACAATTTAACTTTAAACCGTATTCGATTTAACCAATCCAAATACCTGCCTCACTAAACATTTTCGAAAATATGGACATAGCATAGACATTAGGTAACAACTTCTTAGTAAAAAGGAATGGTCGTTGTTACTCAGTGAGAGAAACAACAGCAAAAAAGCAAACTAGCAGCCATGTATTCGTTCAAGTTGGAAATGTGTCCTAGTCATACTTCAAGATGTTGTTAGTCTAATCGTAAGTGTTATCTGGTACTACAATTCATATGATACAGATACTTGAATATATATATTTGTCTTTTTTGCATACAGACGTATGCAAAGGACACAGATGGCAAAACACATGAAGTAGTACAACTAAGGCCATGGAAGTTTCTCCAAAATATCTCTTTTGGTTTACTTTGGGTCGTTTGTGAGTGTTTAGCTTTCCTGTACGAAAATATTTTTAGAAAATTCTATAAATCTAAAGGGTACAATAAATGTTATATAAACATATATTACATATATTTCGAACGCTTAAATAATAACAAATAACTGGGATTATATAGAACACAAAACAAATACAGAAGAAAAATGTACTTACGTAACCTTTATTTAAATCAATATTATCTAAACGACACCCACGACCATATAATTTTTAGCTAGTTCACCATTTTCGCACATAATAACAATTTCCCTTTCTTTTCTATTGTTTTTTTTTAGTATTTCTCATAAGCATAGAAAATAAATGAATATTAATTATTTAACACTTTCAGCACAGCTGACGCTCACCCTAAAAGTATGCTTTAGGGCATGTATTAATATGTTTATCATTGCGGTTTTGTTAGCCTAAATCTACGCGGCTGTTTTGCATGACATTTATAAGTTACAAATCTCATTTATGGAAAGTGGATTTCATGTTGCATTTTAACGTCAGTTAATTAAATTATGCGTCAATTCTTGGAGCTGCACCGGCAAAAAATGCTAGGTAAAATCAACAATATCGCCGCATGCAAAAACCACAAAGTTTTATTAAAATCAACACCTCTCTACAAATTTGAACATGCATATACATATGTGTGTGTGTATGTGTCTGTGTGTATTGCAAAAACAACATGAGAAATAAACTACGAGAATTTGATACAACAGCCAAGCAAGCGATGCTTATGGCATACATTGAACCAACTCCACTTTCTCATACCCCAAAAGTATGCTATAAAATAAAAGCAAAGTAAACTAAACTGAAAATGTATTGCCTAAAGCACACATAAAAAAACAGCTGAAAACCAATTAGTTTTTACTCTACAGAAGTGGCAACGCCTTCCAAATAACTGCAACCACGTAAAACCAAACCACAAGCAGGCATGGAGGCAGCAACAGCAACTACAAAAACAATGTGCGTAGTTTCTTTGGGCATCGAGATATTTGCGGCTTGATTTTTTTGCGATACTTTAAATTGTATTACACATTTAAAACCAACGAAACCAAATCCATGTAGTCATCCTGCAGCTAAATATATGCATATTTTTCGAATTATGCTTTCATTCATTCATTCTTCAAATTCCTGATTTATAAGATTTCCGGAAAACATTTTCCAAATACATGGATAAACTCTTTTATCTAAATCTAATACGTGTAACTGCCTAAAGTATGCTTTTGTTTAATGGCATTTTGTGGAATATCCTGCACATCGTGGTGTGTGTGTGGGTGGGTGGAGAGTGGTTCACTCTTCATATTACCGATCAGATTTCCAGCCATTGCTTAATGTTTGTTCATTGTTCTAAAGTGAATACAAGTTTCGTGAGAAACTCTGTCTAACTGTAGGCAACGAAATCACGCTAAACATGTTCCGCCTGATAGTATGCAACATTTGCCTCACACCGGGGGAATTGTGTTCACCGTTGTTATTGTTTGCTTTTCTAAATGTGGAAAACATTTTGTTTCGCCAAAGGCTAGAGAGAATATACGCCATGGCACCATGGAACATGGCAAAAGTCAGAACTAGGCAGCAGAGTGAAACGTTCAAACAGCATTTTGTACTTAGACCAGTTACACATCGATATCGCCTATGCATTGAAAAGTTGATAATATGGCAATGTGAATAATATATAGGTATATACATAAGTGTTTAAAGATTTTATTTGTCACACAATAGGTTAGAGTTAGGGAGACATCTTTGAGTAGAGACATGTCGTGATATAAATACAGACAACAATTATAACGGGCGAACTGATTGGCTGAGTAATTTGTAAAAATCTTTATCCTCAATTAAGAATATTTAATGATGCGAATTTTCTCTTGATTTATTTTACGTTAATTTCCATGTATATAGCTAATTTACTAACTTAAGTCAATATCATTGTTTCCGGACTTTCGGATGAATTTTTGACTACCACAATGTGAAATAACAGGAAATGTCTTTCCCCCGCTCTTGCAGATTATGTATTATTTTGGAAAATGCACGCTACTTCGATATCAAAAATATAAATTGACTCCATTCAATTTTATAATTCTTCTTAACCCGTTCATATTTATAAAGTTTTGTGTACATCTTTGCTCTAAATATAAAAATAATGCCCAGCTACATTTGCATACGTTATGATTCCGCCACTTCTTAATTGCACTAATTAATTTTATAATTCTAGTTCTATTAGCTCGTCAACCACCA